CAATTCACCCTCCATATTTTACCTCGATTCTGCGCAGAAATGGCTGCTCCCTTTTTAATGGAAGTCCTTGTATTTTGTTTTTAACCCCAAGAATGGGCTATTAGCATTCCAAAGAAAATAGTGAAAAAGGAGTCGAAATTCACCCCCGGGTTCCTGGGCCCGTCCATACAGTTCACCCGGGCCCCCCAGACACGGCATTATCGTCAAATGACGGTGAAGAGGGAAAGCTCCAGCACTTGCGCTTTGTGATAAATGTATTCTATCTAATTTCTCTGTCACGTTACTTCCTCCAGTTCAACGTCTTACATCGGCATTCAACTGATGACGGGGCGGGTTTCAATTTTCATAGACACGTGTAAGATGATGTAGGGTTTGAACTATTCAAAGGATGAGGATTATTCCAAAATTCATCAGGATCATAGAGTTGATTATTATGGATAATGTTGTTTCATGCCAACAAAGAGCTTCACAATACACCTCAAATATCTCCGTACCCATATACAGACATATATATATATATATACACACTTCATATGGCAGACTGCAAAACCTACCAGAAGACAAATAAAGGAAAAGAGACGTCCCAGTCCTGTAAATTAAACCACACTCAAAGTGCCCAAACTTGTTCTACATGCCAGGAATTGGAATTTCCCCGCTCCCTCCCGCCTGCTTTCCGGAAACTCTCCCCTTCTCTACTCAGTAGTAAAATAAACAACCATAAACCCCACCCAACTTCCCAAAACCCCCAAAGCCGCATACGAACTCGTAAACATCAATGGCAAAAACTCATACCTCCCCCTCCCAAACACCCATCCATGCACAATCGAACAATAAACAACCAACGGGATCGCTACGGAGTCATACAGCATCGCAAACCGATCTAGCAAAAACACCCGCGGCCGCACGGGGACGGGCGCAAGCCTCTCAAATGCAAACATAAACAGCAAGAGCCAGAAGACCGTGTATGTGATCTTGATCGGGGCCTCTGCGGCGGTGAAGAGGAGGGGGAAGAGGGAGACGTGGCCTGCGACGGCGAGGGGCCGGAAGGCGCCGAAGTACCGCCTGTCGCGGAGGGCGAGGAAGGAGAAGGGGATGAGAACTAGGAGGATGGCTTTTTCGTGCACGTGCCAGCCGAAGAGGAAGGAGGAGAAGCCGCAGAGGGTTACGGAGCCGAGGAAGGTGGGCCAGGAGGGGTGGAGCCAGAGTTTGGTTAGGGGGAGCTGCAGGGAGGGTTAGAAGAGGGCGGGTTGCAAAAGGGGTGTGATGATATGTATGTGATGTCGGTGTGTGTGTGTGTGTGTGTGTGTGTGTGTGTGTGTGTGTATATGGATGGATGTGGATGCTTACTAGTTGGAAGAAGAAAGTCAGGGCAAATGTATGCTCCTTTGTCACCTCGGGCAGGACCGCGAAGGAGGTATCCCCCACCAACCCCCTCGTGACGCTGCCCAGGGCCCTCGAGTCGACTTTCAGTCCAAGAGATGGTGCAACTGTGTATGGGCAATGAAGTTGTCAGCAGCTAGCTTCTCACATAGCTAAAAAAAAAAAAAAAAAAAAAAAAAAAAAAGAAAAAAAAGAAAAAAAAGTTTTCCCCCGCAAATGGG